CAAACCTGACTGGTGTTCCACTGTATGGACATTACTGGAATAGAACACATATCAACCATTCTCCACAAAAACAGTAGATCATGAGGCGAATGGTATACAGGGAACCGTGAAATATATTTTAAAAAGGTCAAAACGCAAAACTTTGTTTGCCAGTCTTCGTCAGTGTACACCGACAGGTGTATGGGCCCCCATTTATTCGGGAAACTTCGGCTTTTAGCGTTTCGCAAAGAACTTTAAATGTGCATGAAACTCGCATATTTTGTCGGAAGGAACTGACTATGCGTCCAGTCTGCCAACTTTATAATAATAATTTTGGTCGTTTTATCATACACATTGCTGGCTATGCTATAAGATAACGTCGTAAGCTACAACCCAATTCATTAAATTTTATGAATTTATAAGCAGGATTTTCTAACGAGAATCTTATATAGTTCCTCAACCGTTAGCAGAGCTTCTTTTGCACAAAAGTGGAAACACTTGCACCTTTAACGGTAAAAAGAACCTGATTCTTCTAATCTAATAATCCATTTTCAGTTGCACGGATATTTGTTAATATAACCGACTTGTATCACAAGTATTTGGTATGTGCAAAATCATGGTCTTCAAAAATCTTGCATTTGACCTCAAATGCGCATCGACAAATGAATTGTCGATGAAGATTTTATTTGTGTGAGCTGAGTCTTATTTTTAAAATAAAGCGGTTTGCAATGTGATATCTCGTTAGATTTCAACATTATACTTTGTATGTCTACTTTTTTACCAAAGATATAACACGTGGGCTTGAAGTTCAGGATGCCTACCGCACATATAAGCCTTGTGTGACACACCACGAGGGTTTTAATTAAGTAGTGACCTGATGGTTAAGGGGTAGGAGGTAATCGGAGAGGTATACTTCACTGTTATGGTATCACTTCTAGTGGCTCTGACAACAAACCATTAGGTGTTAGTCGATAGAGTTCCATAATGGACAACATCCAGTTTGCTCAGTGGATGGAACACTTTTCGTCTTAAAGATATTACGCATCCGCCCGAAAGCCTTTCTGCTAAACATTTTTGCTTCGCGGATCTGCTTTTTGATAAATGCGCATCTATACATTAACTTTCATGGCTCTAGGGAGTTAGTCGAGTCATATTTAGAGCTGAATTCGTCTTCAGATTGGATAAATGTGTTGGGTCGAGGACAGTTACATTAAACTCCTAAAATGAACAATGACGAACGTTTCTAAGCCACATCAGTCGTCTTACTTGGGTGACATGGGATATTTATTGTCGCTGCATATTCCGCTGGATCCTCTGAGACTACTAGCACAGTCAGCTGTGAAAATTGCCACCCCCCCATATTTAGTTCATGGGGTAATTTCAATCTTTTGGTACGATGCGTTTAGCTTTGTCTATCATGCACATGTTGCGGCTGCCATAATTACTGATATAAGTGGTCTCGATGATGTGCCAGATGTTTCTTATACCTGTGTGACAATCCGTGGCAGCAGATCGAGCTATTCTCTTATTGTCAGCACCAGAGTCCCAATATTGTCCGAAGTAACACTTAGGTTGTGACGTTGCCAACAAAAAGGTAACCCAACCACTCCACTTATCTTTCTGAGATGGTCTGGGATATCCTCGTGATGTTGTCGCGGCGAGTTAGGACTGCCACATTTGAGCCAAATTAAGTGTACTTAACTCACAACAATTATCGTCAACCAGTTGTGGCCAAACACCTCCAGCTTTATTTCATCTGCCACGTCCATAGTCCGGAATTCACAGTCATAGAGAAGGACAAACCGCACGGATGCGCGGTACGAGCAAATTGTGGCGTCGGGTCTATGGATAGTTTCTAAGGCTGCAGAAAAGTTGACGAGATGCATTGATTCTGGAGACACCTTCATATTTACTCTATCTTTTGGGCTACAACCTCTCTGAGGTATTCGAAAGTGTCAACTTCTTCAGAGTAATAGCCATTAATCTCTAGATGTGCTTTTTGTTGGGCAGGGATGCAGCATGAGAACACCTTGGTCTTCCCAGTGTTTATGGACAACTCCACAGATTTAGCGACCTCTTTCACCCGTGACACCGCAGACCGTGAATTGCCAATGCTTAACACCAGTAAAGCGATATCATCATATATTAGACTGCCATTTCAATTTGCGTGTCCCTGCCATATAACTGTTGGTTATTGTTTCCTGATCGAGTTTGCCTACATAATATATTGCCTATATGCGACAGGCTAAGCTCTTCTCCGGCCTTGCGAATAAGGCACCCAGCTATGCAAAACCGAAATGATGTCTTTTAAACATGCACTTTCGTACTATTTCATATTTATCCTGTCTCAGAATGCATCCATTCTAGTCTCCACGGTGTGTTTGGCGCTTCATCCTGTCGTCTTCAAGCAACATGGCTTTCCCTCGCAGGATGACTCTACGGCGTCCACAAAGTGGTTCGGCTCAAGGGTTGACGAACTGATGGCTGTCTGTCTGACCTACCTTGAAAAGGAAAAACACATCTGCACTAAGGAGTACGTGGACTTTTCTCGCACTGGCCTGCTTCCCAAGTTGCGACCGGAATGGTCCACGGAACCGCATGGTGGCGTGGAGAGTATGCTCAAGTCTCTTCACTACAAAAACCTCAACATTGCTGCCTTGGCGCAACAAGCTCTTTCGGGCACTGGTTTGATACCGACTGGCAACAAGGAGGCAGCTGGTGACGACTTCCAGACAACAAGCAAACCGCAAATCTCCCTTAATATTGACAAACTAAAAGAGCCACAGTCGAAGGGGAAGCCGTTGATCGAAGAAGTTGTTTACAAACCGCCACCGCCCACATGGAAGTCGACGGGGCGTCATGGGGACCCAATGCTCAAGTATTCCATTGACCTTCCGGATAATGTGACCCTAAAAGACTGCGAGTTGGACATATCTTCGGTACGTCGGTAACAATATATAATGAAGTTCACCGAGCCCTTCGCGTTTTATAATTGGCTACTTACAGCGTAGTAGTAGTAAGCATGTTTTGTTTTAATACTTTTACTGTGGGTGCGTTTTGCTCAACTTGACA